AAAACCACTTTGGGAGAAACCTTAATAACTGTCCAGAGGGCAAAGTTGGGGGGAGACAGAGGGCTGAAGTGGGGAGAGGGGACTGAAAAGCAAGGTGGGATGACCAAGGACAGCCTGCACACTTTGGGGCTTAGGGCTGGCCTCAAGTCCCTGGCAGTCTGGCCTCCGAGTACCCTATAATCACACCTGTGCTTTCCCATCACTATACTTTTGTCTGTGCTGTGCCTTCTATCCACAATGCCCTCTGCTCTCTGCTGGGAACTGTAGCTCACTCTTCCAAGCCCAGATCAATGTCACCTGCTCTGTGACATTCCCAGAGGCTTAGGCATGGCCCCTTTCACTGTATTCCCAAAGCACTTGCCCATTATGATGTGTTCTCCCTCCAGGAGAACTCTTGGGGAGCAAGGTCATGGCCAATTCTCCTCTGCATCCCTAGCATCCAGAATTGGCCTAGAAATGGCTTGTGAATGAATGAGCCTCCTTCCACTAAAGTCCCAAGGCACCTATTTCCCACCTCCTGCTGGGCCTTCCCTCCCTGGTCACAATTGGGATAAACTGCCCTTGGTCTTTGCACCACCTTGGTTATTGACCAAAGTTGGGTTTTAATGGTGCTCTGACAAAAGGCAGCTCCCACATTCATTTTCCTTGGCTAATTACATTTCCCAATTGAAACACTTATCTTTGTACTGGTGTTAAAGACATAATCAGTTTCCAGAATGGATTCAAAAGAGGTGAGAAGCAAGAAAATAATTAAGCCAACTTCTGATTGAATCAAATAATTAAGCAGATTAAATTGGTTGCCTGTGATCAACAGTTCCAGCCCAGGCCTGGGGAGAGTGTTGCTCTATTGGAGAGATCACTTCTGATTGTTTTAGAGATGGACAGCATTTCTTTTGAATTGTAAGTAAAGGAGTCACTGTTTCAACTGAATGCAAATAAGGATGGCAGGACCTCAGGTTCCTGTTTAGGCAAAATATTCTGGATTTAACTTAAAAAAAAAATCAAGATGGATGGGGGAAGGGGCTCTGCTTAGAGCCATGCATAGCCATGCCTGGACACCCATGGTAGAAAGGCTGCAGCAATGGTCCCAATTCCTTACCTCATCCTGCAGCCATGGCCTTTGCCACTGAGTAGGATGTCTCTCCCTGTCCTCTTACTCTGGGCTCAGCCACAGGGCTAACTTTAGTCAATCACAACAAATGTGACAGAAGCAGAGGATTCAAAACCTGCTTGTTTCCACTTCCTTTCTTGGTCCTTTTGCCTTTCTGTGTGGAGCAGAGCTGACTTGCTCCCCTTGTCCCAGCGAGAATCTCCTAGGCTAGCTGACAGTCAGCTGCCCCAGCCCCCAGGGGACACCAGTAAGATGCAAGGGGTTGATTAAAGGAACAGCCTGAACTGGCTGGAGCCTGAGGACAACAAGCTCCCTAAGCATTTACTGCTGCATGCCGGTGAGCTCTATGACTGTGTTGTTTGCAGCACCAGCGTGAGGACAGGTGACTGATGCAGTAACCCGCAGCTCAGGTTGGCTTTCTCCAGCTCCAGCCTCGACTCTCTGCTCAGGCATCACTTAGAACAGAGTCAGGCATGTTGGTCCCAAATACCACATCTTTACACAGAACTCACCTGATCCTCACAGGGGCTCCTGGGCAGATGTCAGGATCAGGATCATTTGTCTCATTTTACAGATGATGATGGTGAAGCTCAGGGAGCCAATCAATTAGAAAAGCTAGAGATGGTGAAGGTGAACTGGTTGAGTCCACCGGCCTCTACCACCCCCCCACCCCCCACCCCCGCCGGGCCAACACTCCAGCAATCAACAGCATAGCAGTTTAAAATCAGTCCACAAGGACAAAGCGACTAGGAGAGAAGACAACAGTAACCAAGTTCTGGCAGTTGGATAGGAGAGCACTGTTCAGCACTGACTTAACAAAGCCAAGAAGGCAGAATCCCAAGCCATGAGGATGCGAGCATCCAGCACTCAGGCTGCAGTGGAAAATCCAAAGGCTCTGGGTCTGGCAGCAACACCAGGTATCCCTGGAGGTAGAAGAAGAGAGGCTTGCTGAGAGTCAGCTGAAAAGGTAGTAAGATCACTTGATCCTCTGTTACCTCTGGCAAGAAAATGTCCTTTCTTGTCCCAGCAGAAAGATGGAGGTAATCTCAGGAGGGGGCAAGAGAGAGTGCTCTGGACTTGGGAACACTGGCAGAATAGAAAGCAGCACCCTGAGAGCAGAGGGCTGAGTGCCCCACTCCATCTCCGGCCCCTCCTTCCTACCCACCTCTCAGAAAGCTACACGCAGCAGGCATTCTCTTGAAAGGAGAATGGGAACGTGTCTTATGTGGAACCATCCCAGCCCGAGACAGCAAACACCTTCTCAAGAGTCCCCTGTTGGACACTCTACTATAAGTGTCCAGAGAACCCACTCCCTACTCTAGTGCCCCAACTCTCTTCTTTCCTGTCCCGTATTTACCCCGAAGTCACAGCCCAGGACCCCAAATATCTGAGGAAAAACTGACATGAGAGGTAGACCAATGAACAAACAGGGACAGTAACTAGGAGGACACAGACTTCCTAGGGAGAAGAAACTAAGAAGAAAAAAAAATCAGAGACAAATAAAAGTGGTGCATCTGTAAGATAAGATCAGGATGCTCAAAAAAGAACATTCATGGAATAAAACAGGGCTCTCGGAAATTAATACATCACCTGGCAGCAGAAATGGAAAACTCAATAGAAGAGCTAGAAAGTAAATTTGAGGAAATTTCCTGAAATAGAACCAAAAAAAAAAAAAAAAAGAACTCCAGAAAGGGAGAAAATGGAGAGAAGAAAACGAAGACCTGAAAAAGTTCACTAGTTTCCAGCACAACAGATGAAAGGAGATCCACCCTAAGGCATGCTGTCATAAAATTTCAAAATGCTCAGGGTAGAGGAGGTCCTTTGAGTTTCCAGAGGAAAAAACACAGCTCTTACACAAGGGATCCAAATGGCATTTGGCTTCAAGCTAGAAAGAATGGACTGATTTCAGAATAGTGAGGAGAAAATGACCTCCATTCTGTAAATCTTTATTCAGTCTAATTACCAATTGAGCCAGAGAGTAGAATGGAGAGAGCTTCAAATTTCAAAACTTTCAAGTATTTTACTCCTTCCTCATACTCCTAGGTCCAGGAACAAAGCAAGAAAGTCAAAGGCCATGGATCCAGCAAATGGGGATGCAAAACTGGCGAGACCCGCAGCTAACACACTTAATGGTGAAAGGCCCCTAGGGTCAGGAACAAACAAGTCTGCCTCTGCTGGACACTGTACTGAAGATTCTAACAGGGTAATAAGGCATCCATATTGGAAAGGAAGAAGTAAAACTGGTTTTGGTTGCAGATAATTTGTCTCATAATTTAAAAAATCCTTATCTACCAAAACACTATTAGAACTAATAAATGAGTTCAACAAGGTTGCAGGATTCATCAATTGTATTTTTATACACTAGCAACGAACACTCTCAAAATTAAATTAAAAAATCAACCCCCTGGGGCTGAGGATTTAGCTCAGTGGTTTCGCTGCCTGCTGTACAAACACAAGGACTCGAGTTCGATCCCGGGTACCAAAAAAAAAAAAAAAATCAACCTCCTTTAAAATAAGTATCAAAAAGAATAAGATACTCTGGTATAAATTCAACAAATAACTGCAAAATTTGTACACTAGAAAGCTAGAAAATACTGTTAAATTTTAAAAGATCTAAATAAATGGGAAGACACTTGATATTCATGGACTAGAAGACAATATTAAGATAGCGATATTAACCAAATTGATTTATAGATTCAATGTAATCGTATAAAATCCCAACTGTATTTTCTCTCTTTCTCTCTTCTCTCTCCCTTCTCCGTTCTCCCCCTCCTCCCTCCCTCCCTCAGCTTTCTCTTTCTCTTACAGAATCGATAAGCTGACCCTAAAATTCCTATAGAAATACAAGGGAATAGCCAAAATAATCTTGAAAAAGAACAAAGATAGAAGATTCATTTTTCCTGTTTTAAAAACTACAAAGCTGCAATAATCAACACAGTGTGATACTGGTATAAGAATAGACATATAGATCAATGGAGTTCAGAGATAATACCTTATATTATAGTCAAGTGATTTTTCAACAAGGATGCTAAGACAACCCAATGGGAAAAGAAGAGTCTTTTCAAAAAATAATGAAGGGCAACTGGATATCCACATACAAAAGAATGAAGTTGGAATTCCACCTCAAGCCATACACAAAAATAGAATCAAAAATTACAGCTAAAAGTAACAACTGAGATGGTAATTCTTTTAGATGATAACACAGGAATTATCTTCAAGACCTTGGTTTAGGCAATGGTTTCTCAGATATGACATAAAAAGCATGACAAAAGAAAAAACAAGTAAATTGGACTACATCAAATTAGAAACATTTGTACTAAAAACTGTCCCCTCAAGAAAGTGAAAAGACAACTTACCAAATAGAAGAAAATGTGCAAATAATATACTCCATGAAAGACTGGTATCCAGAATATATAATCTTACAACTCAATTTAATTTTATTTTTAAAAAGATAAATCATTCCAATAGGGATTTGAATATACATTTCTCCAAAGAAAATATAAAAATGGGCAAAAAACACATGAGAAGATCTTTAACATCAGTAGACATTAAGGAAATACAAATCAAAACCACTATAAGATATACCACTTCATACCCACTACAGTGGCTGTAATACAGAAGACAAAGATGTGGAAAAATTAGAGCCATAATCTGTTGCTGACAGGTATGTAATTGGTGCTGCCTCTTGAGAAGACAATTTGGCAGTACCTCAGAAAGTTCAACACACAGGTCCCATGTGACCAGTAATTCTACGTGTACTAGCACCTAAGAGAAAATTTTAAAATGTTCACACAAAAGTTTGCATACAATGTTCATAGAAGCATTACTCATAGTAGCCCCAAACTACAAACAAAAAGGTCCATCAATCAATGAAAGGGTAAATAAAACGTGGTAGACACATCACGCCATTTTATTGAGTAATAAAAAGAAATAATATACTGGTGCATGCTACAACATGGATAAACCCTGAAAAGAATCATGCTCAGTGAAAGAATCCAGACACAAAAGATCACAAATTATATGGTTCTGTTTTTATGAAACATTCAAAAAAGGCAAAGGTATAGTGACAGATTAGACCAGTGGCTGCTTAGGGCTGGAAATGGGAATGGGGGATGGCTGTAAATGGGCACAGGGTTCTTTGTAGGTAATGGAGATATTTGAGATTTAGGTGGTGATAATGTTTTTATAACTCTGTAAATACACTAATATTCATTGAATGGTACACCTGAAAAAGGGAGACTTTTATGGTATGTAAATAATGTATCAACAAAATTATTCTAAATAACAAACAAGAGAGAGGCAAAAAGTTCCCCAGAGACAACAGCTGTGGAGCAGGTTCCCAGGCCCCAGGACAGACTTCTGCAAGAGGATGAGACTGAAGGAACTCTTAAGGCATTAGAACACTGAGAGAGCGGCACAGCAATAAGAGGATGTGAAAGCAAGGAGTGACGAACATGCAACAAGCTAAGCAGCAAATAAACAGAACAATTATTAACTCCAGAGAAAACAAAGAGCTATGTAGGAAAGAGAAGGAAATCATATTCTATGAGGGTCAGCATGAAGAGCATGTATATAGCCGTAATGATGTTAAACACTAACCAAGATCTTAGTACAACTAGTGGAGTGGAAGGAGAATGGAACAGTGTGTGTATAAATAAAACTACAGGGAGATATCATTGTACACTCACTAGCATAGCTTAAAAAGACCTCCTGTCTCAAAAGCACAAGGACCCGAGTTCAATCCCCTGTAGCCAAAAAAAACAAACCCCCAAAAGATTGATATAGCAAGTGTCGGTGAGGATGGGAAGCAGGTAGACTCCCCGATATGGTCAGTGAGACTGGAAAATGGTGCATCCACTTTGAAAAAGACAGTTTGGGAATTTCTCTTAAAGTTAAGCATGTACTTACCATATAACCCAACTGTTTCACTCCTGGGTATGTAGAAAAGAGAAATGGAAACCTATGTCCACATAAAACCTTGCCCATGAATGTTCAAACCAGAATTATTGGCAATAGCCCCAAACTGGAAACAATCCAAAGGCCATCAACTGATAAATAGAAAAAACAAAACTGCAGTTGGGGCATCTGATGGATGGAATGTGTACTCAGAAACAAAAAGGAGCAACCACTCCTAGACACAACACACGTGAACCTTGAAAACATGCTAAGTGAAAGGGCCAGATGCACAAGAGTACACACTGTGTGCTTCTTAAAACCCTAGGAGGTTCAAGCTAATTCAGAGTGACGGAAGTAGATCAGGGATTGCTGGGCCAGACAGTGGGGAAGGTTTCCCACAAAGAGGCATGAGGAAATTTTCAGAAGATATTCTGTACCTTGATTTAGGTGGTGGTGAAATGTATTTTTCCAAATGTATTGAAGTGTACGCTTATTATGGGTACATTTTATTGTACTAAATTATAATTCACTATAGTTCATGTATTCTCGTCCATGGGACAAAATATGTGACATAATTTATAGGGGGAGAGGGTTCATTTGGCTCAGTTTCCAGTGGGTTCAGTCTTGAGTTGGCCAGCTCCAAGGTAGAAATGCATGGTGGAGGGTAAAGCAGAGGAACACTGCTCATTCTATGGCAGCCAGGAAAGAGTAAGAGAGGAGTCGCTGGGGACAAGAACACACTCTTCTGGGTCACATCCCCACCCACCTCCTGACAGCACAGGAACTCCTGAGCTCATCAAAGGAGGCATATACTGTATAGCACCCCCAAGATCCAATCATCTTCTAAACACATGAGACTTTGGAGGGCCATTTTAAATCTAAACTGTAACAGTTGATTTGAAAGTTAAAATAAGATAGAGCTGCTGAATGTGGTGGTGCATGCCTGTAACTCCATCACTTGGGAGGCTAATGCAGGAGGATCATTGCCAGTTCAAGGCCAACCTGGGCTGTATAGTGAGTTTGATGCCAGCCTGAACTACAGAGCAAGATCCTGTCTCAGAAAACAAAAACAAAAAAAGATATTGATTTCAATTGGGGTTAAAACCAAGGAGGCTTCATGGAAGAAGCAGTAGTTTGGTTTTTAAAAATGAACTTGGAAAGCTGAGCATGCTTGTAATCCCAGCTACTCAGGAGGCTGCGGCAGGAGGATTATAAATTGAAGAGCAGGGCCAGGGATTTAGCTCAGTGGTTCCGCTGCCTGCCTCGCAAGCACAAGGACCTGAGTTTGATCCCCAGCACCAAAAAAAAAAAAAAGTTGAAGAGCAGCTTGAGGAACTTATTTAAGACCTTGTCTCAAAAATAAAATAAAATAAAATCAAGTAAAATGCTAAAGGGGCTGGAGGTGAAGTTCAATGGCAGAGTGCTTGCCTAGCTTTTCTAATACCACAATTAAAAACAAAAAGAATTGGAGTGGCATGTAGAAGGGCAGAGGCTTGGTCAGGCAAAGCAAACAGTATGAGTGTGACCAAATCTTAGTGCTTCCCTCTAATGTCCATTCTCCTTTGATTTGGGTGGAAAAATACAAGCAGCAGCTTTATTTCTCACTGAGTATATGATCAGGAGAATAAAGACTGCACCTCTCAGCTTCCCTTGCAGCTAGGCATAGGCATGTGACCAAGTTCTGGCCAATGGGATATGGGTTGAGATTGTGTACAACTTCTGGAAAGTATATTCTCTTTCTCTTTCTTTTCCTGCTGGTCAAAATTGGTCATGATGACTGGCACCAGAGCAACCACCTAGGACCATAAGGTAGAAGCCACTACTCAGGATGAATGGTGGAACCTGAATGTCCAGTCATGGTGGAGTTACTAACACAGCCCTAGACTGACTACTCTGACTTGTGAAAGAGAAATAAACTTCTACTTTAAGTCATTGCTATTTTAGATTTTCCTTTAGTTTGAGCGAAATACAATTCTAACTAATACAATGAACAAAAGCAGAGTGAGAGATGACATGCTAATGTCCCTAATGCCTCAGGTGCTCCTGAACATTCACCCTCACTGATCTGCTCTATACTGCTCAAAGCCAAGGCTTTAGTTTTCCTCATCTGTCTGTTTCTAGGCCTTGGTACATAGTAGGTGGTCAGTAAAAATACTGAGTTGGCTGGAGGCCCAGGGGATGATTTGAGCCTTAGCACAAAAGGGACTAGTTGCTCTCTGAGGGCAGAGCCTGGACCCTTCTGTTCACCACAGTAACCCTTGCACTGTTTGTTGCGAGTGTTCAGATATTTGTTGAAGGAAGAAATGAAAGGCTGCTGGCTGCTATAGCAGAAATCTGCAGGTTCACATCCCAGACTCCACTCATCTGTTTTCAGGGTGAGTGGTTAATAGGCCCTTGAATCACCTTCTAGGGCATCTTTCTCCTCCCTCCTCCCAACTCCTAGGCCATGTCCGATTTGGGGCAGTGCTGTCCAGACCCCCAGCAATGCCGATGATCAAGTGATCTAGGTCTCAGCCAGTCCACATCTTTCATTCCTCTGGACATTAGGATTAGCTAGGGACAGAAAGAACCACAGGCACAATTAAAGTTGATCAGAGCTAGCCCTGGGATTTAAACTGAAATCCTCAAGAAAGCAGCCCTAGCTCTTTTGCACCAAACACAAACTGGATACATGGAGGCAAAAATTGCTGTACTACTTTGCTGACATAAAGGAAGGGGCATTCTGAGAATGAAGAGAGAAAATAGAGGACAGACACACAGAAAAAAACAGTCAGTCTTTATCTGAGTCTTGGATCAAGGGAGATCTGAGTCTAACCCTGGCAACTTTCAGTTGAGTAATCTAGTAAATTCCTTTGAGGCTTAAATCAAATGGGGTTGGATTTTCCATCTCTCACAACCCTAGGGGGCAAACTGACTCAGTTAACCTTGAGGGTCAATGTCTCTTAGGTACAGTGCCAGTACCAAATAGAGGTGGGGGTCGGGGCACCACCAGGTCATGGCATTAACTCCGCTTCCTTTCGAGTGTAGCTAACTCTGAGAACTCAAACAAGGCTTCATTGATTCTACCCGGTATGTGACATTGTAAACCAATCTCACATTATCAGCATTGCCAACATTCACCTATAAAAACACAGGAGTCTAAAATGTTAATCTGAGAATTAGTGGACATTTATCTTCTTTTGGATCGGTATAATTTCCTCCCATTTTTTTTTATCTGCTTTCTGAGCCACCTCATTTATCTAAGCTTTCAAAAGCTCATGCAAAACACATAATGCACTTCAGCTACAAAAATCAATGCTTGAGGATGCATTTTCATCAAGATTGCTACAGAAATTCTACTGTTTCTCAGAGGCCTTACTGCAAAAATTTTTTAGCCATGAAAAACAGCCAGGGTAGTTTTACTTATAACAAAACCTTGCCCTAGCTATAAAATCAGGGAAGTGAGTTAATTGTAAAAATGTGTATACTCATTTTATTTTTAAAGAGAAAATATTTTATATTTCAAACCCCTTACCTCCCTCAACCTCCCCCTGCCAAGACAACTGACTCTAATTAAAGACCATTTACCCTTGGAATGGATTGCTTGCTGCAATTTGTACCAAGGAGAGACATTTGCAGACAAATGGGTTGCAGTCCTTAGATTTTTGCCCAAATGACAAAAGAAGCGATTATGTTCTCTCGTCACTTCCTCACTCTGAAGAACTCTATTAAGAGAATAATTTGAACCGAATCTCTGCTACTCTGCATTTTAAAGCGTGATCTATTTCAAGGCCACCAACATTTTTTCCCCTTTTAAAAATGAATGGTATTTAAGGAAAAATGCCAGCTGGGTGTCTATTTGAGGAGGGGCTGCAGGAAACTCAAAGGTTGATTTAACTCCCTCTGAAGCCAGTTGCTTGTAAGTGCATAACAGCCTTGGTTCACAGCACACACAGCACAGAGATGGCCTCCAAGTGCAGGAGACCTCACATTCACACCCTGGAGGACGTGTAGTCACATTCACACACTGGTTCTTGACACCTTGCTCTCCTTCTCTACTTCCTGGCTGCCTAGTGCTGAAGGGGTCTGGATGGGGCTAACTCCAGGGCCATGGGGCCTAAATGGGACAGTCAGACCCTAAGGCTTCTTGATTCATCTATGGTCTGAAAGACCCAGGGATCTGCCCCAGCATCAGATTGACAGAAAGCCCAAACTAGCAGGCACAGGAACGCTTCTTGTGGCCCCAGCATCACCGCTGCAGGCTGCGTGACAGTGATTTAGGTGTCTAGCTCAGCTCAGGACCTGGCACACAGCAGTGCTCAATATATGCAGAATGAGTGACTGAGTAAAATCATGTCCTTTAGTTCTGTCCATTTGATCAAATGGAGCTGAGCTCAGCACGAACAGTGACTGGGCATCTGGTCATTCATCTTAATCCAGACAGGAATGTCTGGCCTTGGCCTAAGAAGATGGGAATCAACTTCCTTCTCCCACACTGGCCTGAGCACTACTTGATTATGAGATGTTACAGTGGGAAGGAATCTAAGTGTGGCAGATTGCAGAAATGTTCCCGACTTTCCACCTCTCTCTCTGCCCATGACTTTGGCCACATGACTTAGCAGCTGCTCCTGTCATGAGACAGAATCTATCTCTTCATCCTTTGTGCCCAGGCTGGACTAACTTGCTTTGACCAACAGAATGCAGGGTGACAGGTGCCAGTTCTGAGCCTAGGTCTGAAAAGGCTCTGCATGCCTCCCCTGTTCTTCTGCACCCTGTTTCTGCCATGAAGAGCAGAGTAGATGCACATGGATTGGAGCTGAGGCATCCAGCCAAGGCCATCCTAGGCCAGCCAGGCCTTGGGTGACCTGCCAGCTGACCGTATACATGAGTTAACTGCAGTCAAGAGCCACAGGCTCATGAGTAATCACAAGGGCTTGTTTTTAAGCCTCTGCTTGCAGGTTAGTTTGTTACACAGCAATAGCTAACCGAGTTCAGTGTTCTAAACAAGTGAGGACACTGAGGCCCAGAGTGTGGCAAGCCCTTTCTTAAGACCACACCTGCTAGTGCAAGCACGGTCAGTATGGAAATACCCAGAACCCTCCCAACAATACCAAACACTGTTTTGTTTTTTTGTTTTTTTAAGAATCCATTGTTTCTCCTCTTTACTAAGTCATCAGCACTGGGCTTCTGAACAAAAGGCATGAAGGTCACTGAGTAATAAAGAGGTAAAGTATAGCTCATGAAAGTATTCCCAACTTGCTACCTCTAAAATTCTAGACTCATGGCTCCTAGGAAACCATTAGTATCCCACAATTGTAATCGTGTGTTCTGACCTGAAAAATCAAACCAGAATGACCTTTTCCCAATTTGTGAAAAATTATGGAAATTGATAGGACTTTTAATGTTACCAGTAATCCATAAAAGGCGCTTTAGAACAGCATTTGGCACACTGTAAATGTTCGATAAATGTTAGCTATTACTAAGTTCTCTCACAAATTTTTCTTAAACCTCTGGTGCCTGTTACTATTTTTCAGTCAGCTGGCAAAACAAGTGAGTAATAACAGTCACAGCTAACATCTGTTGAGCCCCACGCGGGGCAAGCCCTTTACATATATTATTACATAATATTAATCTCTGCTACGCTGCTTTGACGAACCAACCCCAACCAACAGATGAGGAAACACAGGCTCAGTGAGATTAATTCACCCAAGGTTAGAAAAGCAGGGAAGCTGCCAAGCAGGATTCCCATTCCAGCTGTCCAACCTACGCCGGGTCAGGGAACAGATCTTGACTACTCGGCTCTGTTCTCTCTAGCACTGATCGTAGACTGGGGTGGAACAACAGCTCAGAATGAGTGAACGGATACATTTCAAGGAGTTCAACAAAGAATTTAGTGTTTGCTTCTTACTACAAAGGTTAAAATTAAAAAGACTGACAATATTAAGCACTGGTGAGGATACAGAGCAACTGGAATGCTCACGTCTTCCCTACCCGCACTCCAGGCCCTTGTGCTGGGAAGGAATTTTACTGTAAGCAAAAGGGTAGGGAGATAACACAGTTGTGCCTGATTAACACAACTGAAGAGGGCTTCAGAATCCTGGTGAAAAGTCTGAGCTTTGGCACTGGACAGTTAGGTGGACAAGGAACATCTGGTTGTTTACCTCTGGAATGCCAGTTTGATCCAGCACTGTTATTTCCATAGGATGCAAGTATTATTTCTGCAGATATTTATTGAGCACTTACTAACTCTGGTGCCTGAGCTGCTGTTGTTATGACTAACCAGCTTGCTTGGTCTTTGGTCATCTCCTCTATAGCCTGCATCAAACTCCTGACTATTCTTTCTTGAACAGAAAATGCCACCTACAACCCAAGCCAATGGGCACTGCCTTCCACACCTACCTTTCACTTCTCAAGGAGGAAAATCTCTTCCCTCTTGGGGGCAGGAAGACTAGCACTTTTCCCTGTTGAAGGGTGTTGTGTGGCAGAGGAAGGGTGACTCTCTACCTGTCCCGTCCTCCCTTGCCTGGTACCCTAGGATCATTTCAGTCCAGCAGGGCTTGGATTCTTGCATGTAGTAGATGTCAGCTGTGTTTCATCCAAGCAGATATGTGGATTCTCATGGCTCCTGGGGGTGGGCTCAGGAGAACACCTGGACCAAAGCACAGCCTGCACTGAATGGTAAGAACTAACCAGGGCCTTTCTCTGATATGTTCTAAGACAGCACCTTTGGCACTGACTTGGAACTGGACTCCTCAATACGTCAGGTACTAAGATTATGTATGTGCCTGTCCAGGGCTTTACTTTTTAAAAATATGTTTATATGAGTCTTACTTAATCTTTCTAATCCTAAGCCTTTAAATCTGACCTGACCCACGAACCAACCTCTCCATTTTAAAGATGAGGTAAATTACCCAGAATCACATAGGCCTCTGCTTGACACTTAATAGTGTTCTATTATATTTTTTGTCCTCTCATAAATGAGTGGAGGTGGGGATAGAGGCAGGGATTTATTCTGTGGCACTCTGGGCACTGTTAGGTACTCCTGTCTTACTTGGTTAACTCTCACTACAATAAGGTAAGATGGTACCACCCATTTTCCAGATCAGGAAACAGATCCAGGGAAGATAAGTGATTTGCCCAATAAAAACAAAAGGCAAAGCAAAATTCAAACCCAGGTTTTGAGTCTTCATAGCAGCAGGCAGAGACTCACTTTCTAGAAACAGTCAGTGTTTATCAGAGTCCCAGTCTGGTGAATGAACTGCTTTGGTTTGGATACGGTGCATTCCCAAAGGTTTGTGCACTGCAAGCCTGGTCCCCAGTGTAGTGGTACTGAGAAGTGGCAGGTGGGGACGGGTGGGAGGAGACTGGGTCATGCCTGGCCTCCCAAAGGGATCAATGCTGGTCTCCATAAGTACGTTGGGTCTCCCGGGGGTGGACGAGTTCCTGTGAGAGTGAACCTGGCTTCTCCTCTTTCTCTCTTGCTTCCTCTCAAGCCACATGATCACTTCTGCATGTCTTCCCACTAGGTGATGCAGTGCCACCTGCCAAGTTATGATGGCCCTCACCAGAGGCTGAGCAGATGGGGCTGCCTGAGCTTGGACTTTTAGCTCTAAAACTGTGAGCTAAATAAACCCCTGTTCTTTTCTTTTGTCTCTCTCTCTCTTTCCTTCTCTTAACAAGCTTCAGGTATTTTGTTACAGCAACACAAAATGGACTAAAACAATAAGTTAGCAGATGCAATAATGTATTGGTCCAGGCACTGGCTCCTGAAAGCAGCTCTCAGATAGCAGGCAAAGATTGTTTTGACCCTAGTAGCATCAGGAAATATGAACTAGCCTCTCGATGGGGGCACCTTGAAAGAAATATGGGCCATTTCTATGATTCTACTAGGTTTGTTTTTGAAAAAAACAAAAATTTTGAGGTTGAATAGAGTGAGACTATCAAGTCTGAAATGATGGAGGGCTGGCCTGGAATTATGGCTCCAATTCATTTGTTCTCTCAACTATCCCCTGGAATCCTGTCCAAAAATACTTGTATCAGTTCTTATGAGACCTTCACCTTTACCTCCTTGAATTTAGGGGCTGTGAGCTGGCACTACTGGCCTGGAAAACTTCTTAGAAGACTCCAGCTGCCTCCACAGTGCAGATGCCACCTATTCTTGGGATGGATGCATCTTGTAGCAGCCACACTGAAACCTACTCTGGTTTGCAGCACCTGTGAGAAGGAACAACTGGCTACTCTTCAGTAGCTGCTTTAAGACTCCCTACAGGGCTACAATCAACCCAGGACAGGAAGTGGAAGCAGGAAGCCGAGTTCCTTGCCCCGGACGTCCCCACCCTCTCGTCCACACTGGCTGAACAAGTCTCAATAATTGTTTTCCACACCTGCATTTTAATTATAGGTCTTCCCTTTGAGATCTGAAGCAATACTGTATCAGGGCAGGGCACACATCTCATTTATCTCTGGAGTCCTCAGTGCCTAACTCATCCTTGGGGCTCCATAGGAGTTCAACCAGGCTCCTCAAACGAATAAGTAAGTCCTGTCCATAGACTGAGACAGTAGTGATGTCCATGATGATAATGATGACGATGATGATGATGATGAAAAAGAGGAAAAGGGGTGGTTGTTCAAGGTTTTAGCCAAATTCAGGGCAGTGAGAGCAGAAGATGATCTTCCCAATCTCAAAGCCTACAGGAGCTTTTCCAGCTGGTCTACACCCTTTTGAAGTCTTTCAATGCATTTTCTCCTCCAGATCCAGTCACTGCAGAGGCAACCTGGTTCTCTGTATAAGTAACAAGAATGGCAGCAGATCATCTATTGATTACCATCATCCTGAGTTTTACAGAGGAACCCCCCCCCCCCACCAACCTGGGCTCTGTGGGGCACTGATGGGCCAAGTGCAGCCTGGCAGGAGGTCCAGGGGCCAGGACCTTCAGCGACCTGATTTTAGTGCTTCAGAAATCCCTGACTTGTGCTGATGGCTTTATGTTGGCATTTCCGCTCCCTGGGTTTTAAAGAATGAGAAATCTGTGGCTGATCACATATTCAGCAACCAAGTGCACTTATTCGAAGACCTAAATTGCAGAAATAACTTGTGTGATTAGTTGAATGAATGTGAGTCTGGATCATCAAGCTCAATCTATGGATAAATCAGGAAGAGATGACTGGGCACGTGGAGGGCAAGCCCTCCCCGTTTTGTCTCTTCTGCAGGATCAAGACATTCCCTGAAAGGGCCAATGGGGGGACCCTAGAGCCTCTGTGGCTTCCAGCTGCTTCATCTTATGCTGCTTGTGCACTGAAACCAGCCCCACCCTGTCCCCCAACTGCATATCTGAGGCAGCTGGACCTCCCTGAAGGGCAGTGTCACTGACAGAGAGCTAGGCCCAGGTAGGGGCATGAGAAGAGGGACCTTCTTAGTATCCACAGGTGATTCCCTTCAAAATAGGTGGCCTACTAAGCAAATGCCAGTCTACCCACATTCTTACCAAGAAAATTACCCACAGTCCCTGGCTGGAATCTGCCTCTCACTCAGCACCCTTCTTTCCCTGGCACACACAGAGGGTTCAGACTCCTCGGCTGCAGTAGACATGCTTAGCTCTCCCCAGAGTGGCCTGCAAGGTCTCATCCCAGCCAGAGCCCAGAGCCTGCAGGGAACCTGCTTCAGGAAGAGCAGACTCCCTGCACACACGATCCCTGGCCCTGGGTGCATCTCAGCCTTGACAGCTAGCTCCCCTAAGGGAAGCCCCCAGCGGCCCCATTTTCCTGGCCCAGGATGGTTCTCTAGAAGGCCAGGAAGCTGGGTCATGTGGAAAGTGCTCTGTTCTTTCAGCAGCATGAACACTGACTACTCTTCTGTCCTGTTCTGTTGATTAATGTGGGTGAAGGGACTCCAGGATACCAGGAGTCGGGCCAGCCAGTCACACAGTCAAGCAATGGAGAAGAGGAAGTAGGGGACAGGCATCCCTATACCATGCAGTGGGAGGCTAAACTTTTGGATCAGAAGCTTCTAGAGTTAATGAGCTTGGTTTCCAATCCTGATTGCAATTGCAAGCTGTGTGACCCAACTGAGGTTCTTAACCTCTCCGTGCCTCAGTTTCCTCATCTTTAAAACGTGGATATTTCTGTGTAGAATAGTTTATAAGATTCAATGAATAGTATGGCTATAGTTCTTAGCAGAGTAGCATGTCGTAAACCCTTAAAAATGTTAGCTAGTCCTGTTCTAAAAATGTATCCTAAGAGAACATTAAGACACATGTATAAAGATTAATGAGCTAGATTAGGAAATTCATCTCACCACTGCTTAGCATGGCAGAAAAAAAATAACCTAAAAGTCGGGTAAATACAAAATGATGGACTATATAACAACAGTCTGCCCACACAATAGAATAACGTAGCCATTAAACATGACAGTACAGGTGGTGAGTGTCAGCTTGCCATGATGATCATAAAATACTGAAAATACTCACAGGTCACAGGTCAATGTTTATCCTATGAGCCTATTTATATAAAAGCACATCTTTATATGTATTCCTTGGCACAGGGAGGTATCTGGAGAGAGACATGGTGGTGGGATTTCCAGAGCTTATCTTTCTGCTTCTTATTTCTAATTTCTCTCCAGTGGAGGAATACAGGAGTGGATAAACATAATCACTTTTTTAAAAAAAGAAATAGAGATGGAGTAATTTTAAGGGTAGAAAAAGATTTTCACACTCAGATAATTCCAACACAGGTAAAGGGATTTGTTCAAACTTCATTACTCTCTGGCTGAGAAGATGCATGAGGAATAGCAGCTGAAAGAAGAGGGGAAATGCCACTTGTTTAAAGGTTTTGCATCTGGGAGAGTAGCTTAAACATGAAAATACCTCCAGCCAGCCTTCTCTGTCACTCAATCCTGCAGGAAACCAACCTTGAAAATCAGCAACAAACCAGATATGAAACGTGCCTTCCTCCAGATCACGCTAAATCAGAGTATCAGGATGACAACGGATTTCTATTTTACCTGGCAAAGAGGCCCTTTCCATTGAGATGAGAAAATTTGGGACACAAATCAGCTCTCTGGAAGGAGAAGAGACATTTTAACAGGATCAGCTGGAGGTCGGGGAAAACTGCAAAGTCTAAATATTCTTGGTGTCATAACTTTGTCAGCTGTGTTTAAGTTGACAAGATGCTTACCCAGCACCTCGAGACATATGCCAAATTGAAGTGGTTAGTTAGATGTGTAAGCCATAATAACTACCCCATGGGACTCTATTGCAAGCACGTGCTCAGCGGGCTAAGGCCACGCAGCCATCGCCTGCCTGGATGCCATACCTGCTTCCCTCTGCTCCCTGGCCAGGCTGTGCACCCCTGCTGCCCTGGAATTGGGTCTCAGGATCAGAGATGGCTTCACTTATTCAGCTTCCCATGCTCAGCATCTGTACTGCAGGAGGGGGTCCTCAGGTACAGGGGCCAACAGGAGGCAAAGTCTGCCTTCCAGCAGTAGTTTCTGCTACAAAGCTCTTCTTCAAAGAGAGAAGCACAAATCCAGCCGATCTCACACAGGTCTGGAGGGATGGAAGCAGGAAGGAAGATATGAGGATGGATAGAGAGAGGCTGTTCTGCTGCTCAGCCTTGGGAGAGATACAGGGCATAAGCTGTAGCAAAGCCATGGATCTACTTTCCTGGCCACTGATCAGGGAAGAGGAATAAAGAGGATGAAGGGGGTGAGGAGCCAGGCCAGTGTGGTGGGCAGCATCTGCAGGTCCAATGAGCTTGGGCAGGAAGGTCAGGAAGAAGGGCTGGGCCAGGCCAGGCCAGGCCCTGGCCTGCCCTGCCCTGCCCATGGAGATGGGCTGTTTGTGGTAATAAGCTTCTGTGAGGATTTTACAAAAGATATGAAGTCTCATTATGTTGCCCAGGCTGGCCCTGAACTCCTGGGCTCAGTTGATCCTCAGCCTCTTGAAGAGCTGGGACAACAGGTGTAAAAACTCCAGGAGATGCCCAGTCCACACACCACATGGCTGTTCTCCAGGCCACCACTGCTTTCCTGATGAACTGGGCACATACCAACCCCCAAAAGTGGTACTCCACCCATGCATCAGGCTCAGCACCCACAGAGAGGGAGGGGTTCACCCTTGCTGGAACACTACCTGGGCTAAGGAGGCTAATCCCTTCAGGATCCTAACCTTATTCTGTTAACTGGTTCTCCACCCAGAATTATTACTGGAGACTACTTTCAATGCAGACTCCCGGGCCACCCCCAGACATACCAAACCAGAATTACTGGGATGGGGCCTGGAGCTCCATGCTTACAAAGCCCTGCAGGAAGCTCTGATGAGTTCCCCTGGCCCAGAGGCACAAATGCATCCAAACTGCTTACTTCGTAAACAAGGAGACTGAGTACCAGGAAGGGAAGCCCAGTGAATTGTCCAAAGTCATACAGGCAGTAACTGGCATGGTGGGAATAGAACCCAACTCTCCCGCCTCCCTGGGCAGTGTGGATAGTACTGATAAAGATGATGATGACCAAGATGACAATGATGGTGACAGAAGCTATTTATTGATACTGCTCTAAGCCTTTCATAGTGCATTAACTAATTGAGCTTTTACAACCACTCTATAAGGTAGAAACTCTCATTCCTATTTTTCCTGGGAAGGAAATTGAGTCTCAGAAAGGATAATTCACTTGCTCATGGTCACATGGCCAGAAAATGATATATCAGAAACCTTGGTGCCAAAGCTCTTGCTCCTAAACAGTTGGCTTGCCTGCCTCAACTCACCAGGACTCCCCCTACCCCCAGGGGTTTGTTCCCTCCCTAGGCAGGGGGTTGCCCTGCAGACTCTGGGGTGTTTCTGGGGCATGGTCCCTGGGGGGGAGTGCCCAGCTTTGCTCTTTGGAGGAAGAGGGCCCCCCTAGGAGGCCAGAGAGTACAGCTCCATTGACGCAGGACCTGCTTTTGCACTTCATCTGGACCTGTGGGAGTTTCTGAGAAATCAAGGTGCTTCAAAGGAAGCTACACTTTCCCAGAGAAATAAAGACTTAGATGTTTGCTCTGGGTAAGAACAGGACAGTCAGCTTTTCCTAGACCATTTCTGTGTCAAATTCTTCCCAAGCAGCCCACAGTGATATTCTCTTAGACCATGCTGACCTCATCTGGGTATATGGGATTTTATCATCCTTGATTTGGGGAAGATAACTCTTTTGGCTTTAGCTTTAAAGGCTAATGTAAGGAAGAGGGACACAAAGGACCAGGGCAAGCAGTGCCAGCAGACACTGCAGCCTCCTGGAATCAACAGAACCCCATGACTTGCTTTGCCACTCAATCTTATCTCCTCCAGATACCCCAAAGCTCCACTGGGCCTGATGCACATGGGAGACCCCTGCTCCTTGGCAGGTCCCGATCCCCAAGACAGACAGGGAGAGAGACAGGGAGATAGGGTTTGGAGGCAGTCAAGCCTGCATGTGACCTGCTGGGCTGCTTCTTTACCAGTTAAGTGGCTCAGACAAGTCACTTCTCTGAGTCTCAGTTTCATCATCCTAACGCCACCGCTTCAAAATGTAACCATAAAAAATAAATGCAACTCCAGAGGAGGGGCCTGGTCTAGCAGGTAGGCACCTGCAGCCATACCCTTCCTGCCTGGCATGAATGGAGACAAAGAACTGGAGCTGTTAGTAGGTTTATTTACCAGCTTTCATGGCAATAATGAGGAAGGGGTCCTTCCCATCGACTCTGAGTAGGCGCAGGCTTTCAGACCCCTACTTGGTGAGAAAGGCACAGTCCAGGAGCAATGACTTCTCTGTATTGCAGGCCCCTCTCCTCCATAAAAAAAATTATCTTTTACAATTGCACTGGTATAAAGATGGATTTAATCCCAGTTGAATGTATTATCATATTTGCTTTTTTATTCTGAGTTGAAAAGAAATTAAAATTAAAAGAGTCTTGTGGGCCCTAGGGACTGTGCCTAATGGAGAAGTCTGCCCCATGCAGGGCCATCTGGGGCAGTGTGTGGCAGGTGGCAGGTGCCCAAGAGCCTCTTCCCCTAAAACATCAGCCCCCTGGACCTCCCATCCCATCTGTGGCATCAACACTACCTGGCACAGCCTCCTAAGCATGGCCTGTGGTACCCACTTACCTATAATAGAGATTTTATTGACATCTGTCAAAATCTACCACCTGAGCAGCTCTGGCACCCAAGTGTCCCTCCTACACAACTGAATTCAAATACAGCCATCTTTGTGGTTTCCTGGCAGTGAAATGCAGGGAGCTTGATAGAAATGCTAAAACAGTCTTAGGAACTTGATGCATACCCCTCCTCAGATGCCTGTAATCTCTGGATCTGGTGGCATAGGTGGGTGTCACCCATCTTATCTCCTCCGAGCCCCCTGTGCCTTGCTCATTTTCATACTCTCCTTCTCATTTCATACCCAGCTCTGAACCAAGCACACAGTAGGGACTCAGTACAAAGCTGCTGATTGATAAAAATTTCAGAAATAGCAGGACCAGGGGATTAAGCTTAGTGGTGTTGCACCTGCCTGGCAAGCACAAGGTCCCGAGTTCAATTCCCAGTACAGCAAAAAAAAAAAAACAACAAAAAAAACCCTCACACTCTCCAAGTCCCCATGCACTGCCAGTTACTTGTTACAAAACAATACCCAGCTGCATTTCTGGGCAACTGTTTCAAGAGCAGCAGGGGACCCGTGCAACCACACCCTGCTTGCTGGAGGCAAGAGGAAGGCAAAGGGCCTGGCCACCACAGCTCCCTTCCTTGGCTCTAACTGCCCGAAAGGCCACGGGGGTGGGGGGTGGGGGAGATGAAGCAACAGCAATTATCCCACATGGTCTATTCTCAGAATTCAAAGTTATTGGGGGAGAAAATGCAATTGTGTGTTATCCAGTCATTAAAACAAAAACCAAAAAAAAACAAGGGCAGTGAATTTCAAATCGTCTTTCAGACTTGATGAAAAGAAAAACAAACTTGAGTATTAGCACCAAATTGTGCTGACAACACACTTCCGGGTCTCTTTGTCCTCCTCAGGGCTCTCTTTTCAGAATTTTTCAACAATTCCTATTGATTCCTTCATGGTTCTCATGCTGACTGGTTATGCTTGGGAGAGCAGCATTCTGTAGGACTTAGAAACCGATCTGCCTGCCTCAGGGGTCCTGAGATGTAGGAGGAGAAAAACTCAGGCTCCCCTGTACCAGGGAAGTGGCCATGGCTTGGCCCCTGCTCCCTTTGGGGCCATCATGACTTGGGTAGCACCTCTGCCTCCATGACTGACCCCCTGCCCACCCAGCTGCACCAGCCTCTCATCAGCTAGGGAGGAACACACTCAGGTTGGCTCAATTACCTATCTTAGGACCTACAAGTAACCTGAGAGATCATGTAAACACCCACACAGCATGGTGGAAAAACTGAAGCCCAGAGAGGGAGCCATTCCTGGGTTGCTGAGCAGATTGGTGGCTGCAAAGCAATTAGAAGGCACAATTCCTAGTTCTTGGGGCATGGGGTGGGAGGAATACTGGGGGCTACATTCGCAGGACCCCATTTATATGCTCCCAGATGGTTGCTTCCCATGGCTGTGGCCAGACCAGCCATGCTGAACATCTTTCAGACCCAATGGAGCCACACAGAACATCATTTAGACTCAAAGAGGCTAATCTTGCTCATTCCCCCCGACCCTGGGTCTCTGCATGTGTGTTTCTGTGCTGTGATCCCCCTCTCAGCACGCCTTCATCGTTCATGCCTTGGTCTTGGGGTAGAAGCTACCTCTCCCAGGGTGCCATCCCTTCACGAATGAGTTAAGGAGCCCCGGGTATGAGCTTGTATCTCATAGGCTCATGCTGCCTAACACATCCATTTTCACAGTGGCTGAGGAGGCCCATGAAGTGTCTATCTTGCTCCCTGTGCTTGCCTTCTGCCTAGAACAGTGTCTGGCACACAGTAGGCACCAAACAATTATTGCCAGATGAAGGAATGGTTTCCTGTGATCCCAGCAACAATTCTGGGTGTCACCATCCCCCCTCTATAGGAGAGAAAACTGAGGTTCAGGAAGGAAATCTGATCCTGGTCCAGTGAGTGAGAATTTATCTCCTGACTCCCAGGACAATACTCTTCCCATTCCTGGCATAGTCCCCAAACTGGTAAGTTTTATTTCATACCATCTTAGCCCGTCATGTCACAGCTGGAATAGAAAGGCTACTTCTACAGTAGTGGGAAGATGGTGAAGAGGGAGTAGGATGAAGGAGGTGAAGGAGGACGTAGTTGACTAATAAGAAGCACTTGAGGGAGTGCAGGGAAGTTCCTGAAAGCTGGGGGTTTGAACATGGAGGGCTTGACTAGGCGGCCTGCAGCAGGAGGCTAAAGGTAAGCACACAGACCACGGCAAGTGTCGGCAAGGTTAATGGACCAACTAGAACTCTCAGACATGGCTGGTGGGACTACCAATTGGTTTAACTACTCTGGAAAACTGGCAGCTTCCCAGTGAAACTTAACCTACCAGAACAGTATGACTCTGCAACTCAGATCCTGGGTCTGTCTCCACATAAATGACTACTATATCTACCAAAAACCATGAGCAAGAGTGTTCATAACCCTCAGACACTCCCAGTGGGAATGTGAACTGGTGCAGCCCTTTGGAAGAGTCTGGTATTTCATTAAGAGGTTAAACATGGAGTGGCCATATGACCCAGCAATTCTACTCCTAAGCATATA